GCTTTATAATAAGGCAAAAACATGTATCTTCTTGAGGTATGATTATAAAGAGTTTGAGTACAGATTATGAGACCAGTGAATAAGAAGATTATTAGAAGTAGAGATATTGTATTTCTTGAAGACCAATTGTTTGATGATAGTGACAATATTGAGAAGCCAAAAATCTCTGTTTATACTCCTTGGAGTTTGGGTCTAATTCCTTCAATTGTAGTTCATGATGATCATGGGGGAGGTGAATAAGAAGATTATGGTGAGAATATTGATGATGATGTTCCTATAGTTGATGATGTTGAACTAATTGAATAAGTCCCTCCACATGTCATTGAGATTCCATTGAGAAGATTTACAAGAGAGCGATAATCATCTACTAGATATCCTCTACTGAGTATGTCATGCTTACTGATTGGGGAGAGCTAGAAACTTATCAAGAAGCTATTCTACATGAGTATAAGAATGAGTGGGTTAAAGTCATGAAAGAAGAAATGAGATCCTTACTTGAGAGTCACACCTATGACTTAGTAAAGTTGCTTAAAGAGAAAAAAAACTCTAAAGGATAATTGGGTTTACAAATTGAAGACTGAAAATAATAGCTCACAACAAAGATATAAGGCACGACTAATTGGAAAAAGATTCAATCAGACGAAAAGTATTGACTATGAAAAAATATTATCTCCTATGGTGAAAATGTCCTATATCCGAGATGTTCTTGGTTTGACTGCCCGCTTGAATTTAGAAGTTGAGCAACTTAATGTGAAAACAATATTTCTTCATGGTGACTTAGAAGAAGAAATTTGCATAAAGCACCCAAAAGGTTTCAAAGTCAAGGGAAAAGAAAATCTAGTGTACAAGCTTAGAAAAAGCTTATATAGACTCAAACAAGCACTCAGACAATGGTATAAGAAGTTTGATTCATTTATGATGAGCTAATGGTATAATAGAACCATATTTGATCATTATATGTCTACGAAGAAGTTTTGAGATGATGATTTCATCATTCTCCTACTATATGTTGATTGTTGTCCATGATATTAGTAAAATTGAGAAGCTTAAAAGAGAGCTAAGTAAGTCTTTTGCCATGAAAAACTTAGGACCAACAAAATAAATACTTGACATAATGATTCTTCATGATAGAAAAAATGAAAGATTTGGCTATCTCGAGATACCTACATTGAAAAGGTTCTTGAAAGATTCAACATGGGTAACATCAAAGTAGTTCATTCTCCACTTGTAGGTTATTTTAAGCTTAGTTCGAAACAATATCCTACAAGTGATAAAAAAAAAGAAGAAATATCCAAAGTGTCTTACTTATGTGCAGTAGGTAGTTTTATATATGCTATGGTTTGTACTGGGCTAGATATAGCTCATGCAGTTGGAGTTATTAGTCGATTTCTCTTTAATCATGGTAAGAAATATTGGGCAGTAGTAAAATGAATATTAAGATATCTAAGATGTACTTTTAGGTTGTGTTTATGTTTTGGCAATTGTGAATCTATTCTAGAAGGGTACATAAATGTAGACATGACAAATGATACTGATTCTAAGAAGTCCACTTTGGGATTCTTGATGACGTTTGCAGGGGGAGCAATCTCTTGGCAATCTAAATTATAGAATTGTATTGCTCTATCAACCATAGAAGCAGAATATATAGCAATTACTAAAACCTACAAGGAAGTTTTGTTGATGAAAAAGTTTCTATAGGAATTGGACTTGAAACAAGAAGGATATACTGTTTACTGTGATAGTCAGAGTGTCATTCACCTCTCTAAGAATTCAACATATCATTCTAGATCTAAGTATATTAATGTTAGATATCATTCGTGATATGTTTGAGATAAAAGAATTACACTTAGAAAAGATGCATAACAATGAGAATTGATAAGATATATTGACAAAATCTTTGCCTAAAGAGAAGCTTAAAGCATGTAGGTAAAGAACGATTTAGTACAACCTACCATATGAGCTGTAGGGGGAGAATTCTTGCTTTTAGCCCATATATGGGCTTGGACCGGATGATTTAGACACTGAGTTGAAATTTGATGTATTAAAAAAAAAAGGGAAACAAAAACAAACGTGTATAGTGAGGGCAACAAGGGCGTGCACAAGGAGCTGAGAAAGAAATAGAGAGAAAAAAATTAAGATTTTGGGACTTTTACTAAATGATCAAGCGGTTAAACTTTATTAGTTTTGATCCAAATTTTATGTGAAAAATCATTGCAATAAGCTTTACAATTTTAACGGTACCGATCTATAGTTTATCCTCTCTAAGATGCTTTCCTATTATATTTATTTTGTGAGACTTAAAATTTTTCTATTATCAAATCCATCTATGATTATTATATATTATGATTAAGCCAAGATCTATATTATTTATGTTATTATGATCATTTGATTATTCTAAAAAGATTTATTATAAATTTATTATCATTATTGGTGATATTAGAAATTTAAAGTTGATTAGGATTCCTTGGTTTTTATTACATTGAGTTTTTCACATAAAAATTTCAATATCTCATTTTTATGATTAATTTATTATTTTACTATTTATGATATTCTAATTAATATTTATTTTTGATAATAAATTAATATTTTAATAAAAAATCCTTATTTTGATAGAAAAATATTATTTCACTATAATAATTTTTCCAACCCTTTCCACCAGCTTATGTTCGCCATGTGTGGATATCAGAAGGAAGATAAAATGATGACCAAGCACTAACCTGCAAGACGAGGATTTCTGACCAAGCATTAACTTACAAGACGGGATTTCTCCTACTCCGTCATGGTTAAGGTCAATGCCGGGAACACAGATCTCCAGGGATATCATGTGGGTTTTGACTTCCTTTTCGCTACCATGTTTCCTTGGAAAAGACCACTGAGTAAATGGTCAACTACATATAGTTTTTGCCGTCCTCTCAGTGAATTGTTTTTATGCAATGCGATCCAATTTAATGAATGCTGACATGCACACAGTCATCTTGAGCTGAATGTGGGGTTTGTTCTGAAAATTTTCTTTGTCCTCGGTATCGACGAGGATATGGTATTCTAAATCTGATATAAGGATAAATATATGATCGGAAATCTTAATATCATTAGGGCGATACTTTAACATCATATGATGGATATTTCTGATGTTATATGATTAACATTTTAGCATCACATCATATAATTGACAACTCAATATGAGATCAAATCAATCGAAAGTCATGGTATCTCAGATTCAATATATCATGATCACGATTACGTTTGAGGAGGTACAATGGTATCAATCATGAAAATAATAATCCTAAAAACTCACTATAAAAAGTCCTCAGTTATATCGTAAGAGCATCTCTTTATCTCGCCGAATACAACATAAAGCGTAAATCAATCCTTGGAATCTATGAAGTTGAACAGTTTTGTACAGTTTGATATTACCATAGTTGGACAAGTTCGGTGTCAATGAAATCAATATGGACTAGTGCAAAAGGAGAAGAATCTTAGTTTTGAGTGGTTCGATATTACCATAGTCGGTCAAGTTCGATGTTAGTGAAATCAATCTAGAACTGTTGCGAAAGACGAAGAATCTTAATTTTGAGTTAGAATTAGCTTTCATATCGAACAACCAATAACTAATTTACAAATTGTATAATTGAAATCAACTAAAAACTAAAGCTGAGACATGTGCCTAATTAACTTTGCTATTGTGTATAACACCCTTTTTTTTTTTTTTACAAAAGATAAATGGCAAAAGTCAGATATGATGATGGGTGATAAATGACCATTTGGTCGATCGATCATTGGTGTAGCTTATAAGTAAGGAATCATTTATTTTGAGCGATGTCATGTGAGCTCTAAAAGGCACCTTTAAGGGAATGAGAGACTTGGCGGACTTATGAGCCCTTGGTTCTCATACTCCTTAACCAATGTGAGACTAAATGGTTTTATCAGTGCTTCCTCAGCCAAGGTGCATGGCTCGAGAGCGAGTTTACTCGGCCGAGATATAAGCCTCGGGCCCTCCTAGCGTCAAAATGATAGTGATCCTTTACACCATGGCTGAGGGGTCAGCACAGCTTGGTTTGGTCCCAGGTGCACAAGATCATCTATGTCGGTACTTGGGCGACGGAAGTCGTCGTCCGATGGGGTCGAGCTTGGGCTTTGGCTTCAAGATCTGGAGACTCCCCTTTGACTGGTCGCCTTCCTCTTTATCGCCTGTCCCTACACAGGTCGGGGTCGGGAAGGGGACTCTCGATTTCGACCCATCTGAAGATTTTGTTAGAACTGGGTGGAAAATGAGCCAAGAACCAATCTCTTGTCGCTGGCCCGTGATGGTTTTTTATCCCTCTGTTTGGGGACCAATCGTATCTGTCATATTTATGGTTGCCGACCTATCGGGCGGTGGGCTTACTCCTAGAGCAAATGTCGGGTGTCCTCAGTGTCATGGCATCGAACGACGGTGTCGTAGTCGGTGCCGTCCCGACCTTTACGGGACAGTGCTGTACTCAATCGGCGTCATCCCAATCTTTACGGGACGACGCTGTACTTGGTCGGCGCCGTCCCGACTTTCGTAAGACGACACTGTACTCGGGTGGTGACATCCCGACTTTTGTGGGACGACACAATACTCGGTCGGCGCCGTCCCAATCTTTACGGAACGACATTGACCGGGGGGTGTGGTCCGTTATATTGACCTTGATGCTGATGTGACTGTGAATAGTGGTTGGGGGGCAAGTTACCAAAATGTGCCCTATCAATAAGATTTTACGATAAACTGTTAAAATTTTTATTAATTAAATTAATCACTATATTTAAAAATATATCAAATAAAAATTTAAAATTTTAACCTTTGATAAGAGAGTTTGATACTACTTGTTATTACATAAGCCTACGATACATTTATTCTTTCCCTACAAAAGTCCTACGCTGCTCACTTGATATCTGAGTTCCACGTAAGGGAATGCATGCCCTGCAAACCCTGCAGACGAGAAGAAAGCATATTGTTCGCTCCCAACTCGTAGGTGAGTCTAATGGCGAGAGAGGTCAGTTGTGGGTGTATCGGGCTCGTCATAGATCTCCGTCCCGTCGTTCTCCGGGTCGGGTGGGTCTGCCGTCGGATCGTGCTGCTTGATCACCAACACCGACGTTGTCGTCGAGAACTCGGACGATGCCAGATAGCTTCCCACGGGCCCCAACTCGGGGCTGTCGGCCTTCTCAGAGAGGACCATGATAGGAGGCGCCTGACCCACCAGGAAGAGATTACACCGCCCGATTGACTTGATGGCGGCGATGATCTCTACCCTGCTTCCCATCACCTTGTCGTCGTACCTGATGGATTCGTTGGACGCTAACACCTTGTCCCGGAACTCGGTGATGCAGGCATCGTCGGCGGAGATCTCGTTGGCATCTACGATTATGGACACGCTTCCTCCTCCGCCGCGGCTCCTCTCGAGAAACCAGTTGCCTGTTTGAGGAGGAATGAACCGTACCACGATGAGCTGGATTCCTGGGTGCTCCGCCATGCGAGCCGAGTAGGCGAGGGCCTCCCGGTCATCCCTTCCGCCGAAGAAGAGGGTCGCCACGGTATAGGACACTTCGCTGGCCACAACCTGCGCCGTGCCACCTAGTCCGCGGTCCACGAGGACGCCGACGGAGCACGGGGCACGGCGGAGGACGCGCCGGTTGATGAGATGATAGGCGTGGCCTGTCGACTCCATGGAGCCATCGATCTGCTGGAGCTTGTGGAAAGGAAGGAGGATGAATGCAGCTCGCTTCTGATCGGCGCTGGTTATGATGTCCTCGTGCATGGTTTCGAGGTCGGAAATGGCGATCATTGGGCGGACGGAGACGTTGCTGAGCTGCTGGTAGGCCTGGAAGGCGATCACGAGATGGTCTGCACCGTTATCGGAGTCCCCCTTCCTGTTCCAGAAGGGAAGGCCATTCAGGCGGGCCTTGTGGACCATGAAGATGGCGGAGGACCGCTCCGACAGCTCCATGAGGTGCATGGCGTAGACAGTGATGCCGCGTCGCCGGATGCCACGAGAGGACTCGATCAGGTTGATCATGGTGGGGATGTTCCGGCTGCCGTGGAAGCAGGCCAGCACGCGAAGTTCGCTGTCGGTGTCATTGCGCTGAATGGTGCGGTGCTTGTAGGGCGCGGACCGCCGCGCGGGCTTGTATATGGCCATCACTATGGGCGTAGTGAGGAAGGTGGTGACGAGAGCCATGAGCACCAGGATGGCGAACGTTTCGTCGTTGAGCACCTGTCGATCGTTCATGCAGTGCAGTCACGTAAACGCCTGGAAACGACAATAGTACTGCCACGGTAAGTAAGAGTGCGGAGAAAGAAACCCATTTCGTACCTTGCGGTCCTTGCCGATGTTGAGAACAATGAGCTCGACGAGCCCTTTGGTGTTCATGAGGAAGCCCAGCGCGATGGCCTCCCGTGCCGGGACCTTGACAAGAAGCGAGACGATGACGGTGCCACAGATCTTGCCGAGGCATGCGGTGCAAATGACGAGGGCAAGGAGAGCCCAGGACTCACCGCCGCTGATGGTGGCCACGTTCGTCTTGAGGCCACTGGAGACGAAGTAGAGCGGGAGGAAGAGCCCCGAGATGAGGTCCTCGATCTTCTCGATGAGGACCCCGGCGAAGGGCCCGTCCTTGGGCACGACGACGCCAACGATGAAAGCGCCGAAAAGTGCGTGGATGCCAATGGTATCGGTGACGAAGCCTGCGGCGAGGACGGTAGCGAGGGTGGCGCAGATGAACATCTCATTGACGGGCTCGCCCTCCGGGGAGCGGCGGGCCATCCAGTCGAGGACGGGGCGGACGAATATGGCAACGAAGGCGACGAAGCCGACGCCGCTGAGGAGGACCCAGAGGGATACAAGGGGGGAGCCGGAGCCAGAAAGGGCGATGGCAAGGGCGAGGAGGATCCAGGCGGCGATGTCGTTAACGGCGGCGGCAGACATGGCCATCCGGCCGAGGTCGGTGGTGAGGAGCTTAAGCTCCGCGAGGATGCGGGCGAGGACGGGGAAGGCGGTGATGGAGAGGGCGACGCCCATGAAGACGAGGAAGGGGGCCTCGGGGACGCCCTTGGCGACGGTGTGGCGGAGGACGACGGAGGTGCCGATGCCCATGACGAAGGGAAGGGAGATGCCGGCGATGGCGATGGCCAGGGCGCGTTGTCCCGTGCGGCGGATGGCGCGGAGGTCAAGCTCCATCCCCACCAGGAAGAGGAAGAAGATGAGCCCGACGCTGGCGAGCGTGTCGAGCACCGTCAAGCTCTGCTTCGGGAACACCATTTTGAGGAACCGCTCGCTGCGGCCTATCGCCGACGGGCCCAGCAAAACACCTCCCTGCAACAGACAGCAGACGACAAATCTAATCATCAGTACTTCATTAGATTAACACTAGATTAGTGCTTGCAGCAGCAGCATAGTAGACTATTGTCGTCTCAAATAAACACCGGTCAAAGCGTTCCATGACGAAGAAACAAGGTTCAGGAGGAGGTCTCAACGGTGGATTGCTTCTGGGCGAGTGGAGGCCTCGCTCTCGACCACGCGGCTCGGGCCATAAAATGGGCTCGCCACGCGTCAAAGTTCTCGGCCGAAGAAGCCGGCCGCGGTAAAACGAAGTTCGCATACGAAGGTCAAGTTTCAACGTCGTAAAGCGTACGCAAAGATTAGAGCAGCAGTAAAGGAGACAGGGCATGATAGAAAGAGCAGCAGGGGATTGGTTCGAGCACATACGATGATCTCGGCGACAACACGCGGCTGACGGAGAGGGTGGAGGACGAAGGCCAGGAACCTGGTGAGGGCGATCACCAGGCAGATCTGGAGGATGGCGAGCGGCAGCGCGGAGTCCAGCGGGTTGTCGCCCTGCCACGACCCGTTCGACGTGGCCCCCATCGGCTCCGGACACGTCGTCCCGGCCACCACCATAGCCATCTCTCCCTCTCGCTCTTTCTCCTTGCCTCTCTCGCGCTACCTGTTGTGAAGTCACTATCAGAAGAACAGCGCCATGCAATTAAATCAGAAGACTACGGTGAAACACTTCTCTACATGCCCATCTATTACTCTGTTCTTCACATGCAACATGCGGGGGGAGAGAGAGAGAGAGAGAGACACAGAGAGAGAGAGAGAGAGAGAGAGAGAGAGGAGGAGAGAGAGAGAGAGA